AAGTGAGGATAACTTGAAGCACTTACTGATGAAGATTGGAGGCTACAGTCTGCAGTATGGATTATACCTCAATATAAAGAAAACAAAAATCCCCACAACTGGACCAATAAGCAGCATCATGATAAATGGAGAAATGATTGACGTTGTCAAAGACTTCATACTGCTTGGTTCTGCAATCATCACCAATGGAAGCAGCAATTAAGACATAAGAAGATGTATTGCATTGGACAAATCTGTTGCAAAAGACCTCCTTCAGGTGATTAAGAGGAAAGATATCTCCTTGAAGACTAAGGTGTGCCTAACCTAAGCCACGGTATTTTCAATCGCCTCATATGCATGCAAGAGCTGGAAAATCAATTTGGAAGACTGAAGAAGAGTTGATGCTTTTGAGTTGTGGTGTTGGTGAAGAATGCTGAAAGTACCTTAGACTGCTAAAAGAACTAACAAATCTGTCCTGGAAGAAGTGCAGCCAGAATGCTTCTTGGAAGCCAGAATGGCCAGACTTCATCTGACCTACTTTTGTCATGTTGTCAGAAGAACCATTCTCTGGAGAAGGATGTCCTGCTTGGTAAAGTGGAGGGTCAATGAAAAAAGGGTAAGGCCCTGAACAAGATAGATTGACACAGTGGCTGCAGCGATGGGCTCAAGTATGGCAAGGATAATGAGGCAGGCACCCGACCAGGCATGTTTTGTTCTGTTGTACATAAGGTTGCTATGAGTTGGAGATGACTCAACGGCACATAACAACGACCGGAAAACAAAATACTTTGGAATAAATCTTAACAGGGACACAAAAGACATGTACAAAGAAAACTATAAAAGACTATTGCAAGAAACCAAAAGAGATCTACATAAATGGAAGAACATCCCATGCTCATGGACAGGAAGATTGAACACTGTGAAAATGTCAGTTCTACCCACAGCAATCTATATACTCAATGCAAACCCAATCCAGATCCCATCAACATTCTTTAAGGATATGGAAAAACCAATCATTATATGGAAAGGAAGGAGACCTCAGATAAGCAAAGCAGTATTGAAGAAGAAGAACAAAGTAGGAGGTCTCACATTCCCCAATCTCAAACCTACTATTTAGCTACAGTAGTCCAAACAGTTTGGTATTGGTATGATGACAGACATATAGACCAATGGAATAGAATTGAGAACCCAGAAATAGATCCATCAACCTACGGTCAGCTGATCTTTGACAAAGGGCTGAAATCCATTAAATGGGGGAAGAGATTGTCTGTTTAACAAAAAGTGCTGGCAAAACTGGATATCCATTTGCAGACAAATGAAACAAGATCTGTACCTCACACCATACACAAAAACTAACTCCAGGTGGATCAAAGACTTAAATGTGAAACCTAAAACTATAAAGTTCCTCAAGGAAAAACTGGGCGAAAATTTAGGGGCCCTAATATATGGCATAAATAGACTATCAAGCATAACCCAAAATGCACAAGTTGAAGAAGATCAACTAGATAAATGGGACCTTCTAAAAATTAAATTTTTATGTACTTCCAAAGACTTCTCCAAAAGATTAAAAAGAGAACTTACAAATTAGGAAAAAAATATTTGGCAATGACGTATCTGACAAGGGAGCGCTCTCTAAAATTTATAGAAACTCCAACACCTCAATAACAAAAAGACAAATAATCCAATTAAAAAATAGGCAGAAGACATGAATAGACACTTCCCCAAAGAGGATATTCAGGCAGCCAACAAACATATGAAGAAATGCTTATGATCATTAGCCATTAGATGTTTTATCAAAACAGTAATGAAATACCGTCTTGCCCCAGCATTAGTAGCAAAGTTCAACAAAACAGAAAATAAAAAATGCTGGTGAGGATGCGGAGAGATTGGGACTCTCATATACTGCTGGTGGGACTGTAAAATGATACAACCACTGTGGAAAGCAGAATGGCGCTTCCTTAAAAAGTTGGAATTAGAAATATCATTTGACCCAGCCATTCCATTATGTTCTGGTTACCCAGTGCCGCTCTGATAAGAATATACCACATGGGATGGCCTTAACAAACAGGAGTTTATTCTTACAATCTGGAGGCTTTAAGTCCAAGTTCAAAGTGCCAGGTTCTAGGGGCTGGGTGAAAGCCCCTCAACCTTGGGGGTTAGCTCTGCCTCCTGCTCCTGGACCACTGGAGCTAGAGGCGTTTCTTCACTTAGACAGCTGCTGGCTGCTGAGGCTGAAACACTCAATCAAGGTTGACAAGTAAAAAGGCACAGTCCCGATGTTACCAAAACACACAGCAGGCCATTAATTCAAGTCCATTGTAAGTCCCAAGGTCAGCAGAGCATGGCAGGCTGCTCAACAAAGACATGGCTACATGCAGGGTCCAAGTGTGTTATAAGCTAGAAACCATTCTTAAAGCTTCTCCTTATATATACAGGAAGCACATCATATCCCAAAGGCAGCTACTCAGCTGCTGTGGTAGATCCCATCATTGAGTTGATTGCCAGTCTCATCATAGGGAATATCACCAGCTGCCCAGCCACTCAACTAGGCCCAGCCAAGTTGACACACTAACATGACTACCACACATTACTAGGTATATATATCCTAAAGAAGTGAGAGCCAGGACAAGAACAGATATATGTACACCCATGTTCATTGCAGCACTATTTACAATAGCAAAAAGAAGGAAACAACCTAGGTGCCAATCAACAGAATGGATAACTGAACTATGGTGCATACACAAAATGGAATACTATGCAACCCTAAAGAATAACCTAGAATCTGCAAAACACCACAAAATGTGGATGAACTTGGAGGACATTATGCTGAGTGAAATAAGTCAATCACAGAAGGGCAAATATTGTTATTAGTCCACTGTTGTGAAAAATGAAGGAAAGGTTTATATATGGAAGGAAACTTTCTTTGTTGGTTACCAGGAGTAGGAGGGGAAGGGAGAGAACACTGTTCTAGATAGTTAGAGACAAGAATTGATTTGGGTGAAGAGAAGGGCAATGTATCAAATGTATGTGATCAACACAGTGGCACTGAGGAAGAGGAAGACATAGAGAGATACATGGGAGATACAGACAACAAAGAAGAACCTTTCTGGACATTCAGTACAGCATTGTCAGTGATGGCAAACATTGATCTAGGGTGGACAGATGCGTGGACAGGCTGAACAATCAAGTTTGTTTACGCAGAGGGGAATGTGCTCGTAGACTATGTGTAGGGTTGGCAGACAATGTATGTAGAAGCACATCTGTATGTTCTGTAAGAAGGTCCAGGTATATAGCAGAGCTGACAAGGAAAAAGGTTGTGGTGACTTTTTGGCCACAGCCAGCTACCTGGAGGGAGGAAGCAGTTGGACCGATGGCTCATGACCATAGTCACAGGGGACATCAAACTCAATTGGCATAACATACTACACAAAACATTGTTCCATATCCTATTTTGGTGAGTAGTGACTGGGATCTTACAAGTTTGCCAGTGGTCAACTAGATGCAATGATGGGTCTTTCCTCATCCAGAGCAAAGAAGAATGAAGAAAGCCAAAGACACATGGAAACAATTAGTCCAAGGGACTGGTACACGATGCGATCCTCAGCCCATATGTCTATGAACCTGGAAGAACCAGATGGTGCCTGGCTACCACTGTCAACCACTCCGAGGGGGATCTATATAGGAGATCCTGGATAGTGGGAGGACAATGTGGAACAAAACACAAAATCATAAAAAAAAAAAAAAGAAAAAAGGACCAGGTTTGCTGGTCTGATAGGGCCTAGTGAAACTCCTGAGACTATAGCTCCTAACTGCCCTTTAGGTCTGGAATTGAACCCACTCCTGTGGCTTCCAGCCAAACAAAAGACAGGCATATGAGCTGAACGTTTACATTAGGTAGATACACTCTTTGGATAGAACAATTGTGGGAGACTAAAAGGGCTGTGTATGCACAGGGAGACAGTTCAGGGGGCAGGAGTGCATGGGAGGGAAGGACAAAGGGAAGAGGTAACTCTGGGGAGGAAGGGGAAAGAGAGCTGTTACATTGTGGGAAATTGCAGTCAATGTCATAATATAAAATGTGTATGAACTGCTGTATGGAAAATGAATTTGTTTTGTAAACATTCACCCAAATCACAATAAAAATTGAAAACAAACCAACAAAACAAACTGAATTACCCTCTTACCAATACATAACAAGACTTACTACACCAAGTGTCTTAGGACAGATGATATTCATGGTGTGTGCAATGTAGCAAAACATTATGTAATGTATGAAACTGACACAATGCAGTACTTATCAGAAAGGGTTCACAGAGCACATAATTTTTCTTAAATTTAATGTGTGCTTACTATGTACATAAACATAATCTTCAAATGTCTATAAAGAGCCCAACTATCTATAGTACTTGCTCTCATATTGGTTGGAAAATTCAATAACTAAATAAATTTCCAGAAGAAACTATAAAAGAGATGATATTATATTTGTACATATTTGCTGATGTTCTTTCATTTGATTGCAGAAATGTCTTCACTGGATTTTTGAGACTAACCTGTCATCAGACTTTTTTTAGCATGGAATATATTTTACATAAACTTTCCCAAGGAACTTCAAAATATAAAAATAATACAAAAACTATGGGGAAAAAATTACTTTGTTTTTCTTTAAGTAAACTAATGTTTACTAAGCTTTTATTATTACTACTGCTCTACTTTCATTTTCTTGTTGGATTCTCACAATAGCCTGGTAAGGCAGGCATTTAATTATTTTCTTTTTACAGATAAATAAACGAAGGCTCATAGAAGCAAAGTAACTTCTTTGTAGTCAGCTGCAGTGCTGTAGTTGAGCCAGAATCTGCGTCAGTCTGGTTTCAAATGCTTCACTCTTAACCACTAAGCTACCCTCAGGTGTAAGTTCTTCATTGTTAGTATGTACCAAGCACTCCGAGGAGTAGTTTGAAAACACTAAACTAAACTAAGGAGCTTTTTTAAATCATAGGTTATAGCATTATGCTAAGACTTACATTAACAGAATCAACAGCTGCGTACATGATATCCATCCATCCTTTAAATGTTGCCTGTAAATATAACATTTGAGAATCTGAATGTGAAGTTCACACTGAAAACAGCCATAAATGTAGCTTAGTTTGTTTCATTTTATAGCATTTGTCAAGTAATATTGAATTAGTAAGCTTTGCTATATTTCAAAATACTAGTTTATTATAAAGATACTATATGTTAAAAAAAAGACACATTCCCAAGTCATATTCTAAATCTCAGTTCTAACTAATTATTTTTAAATTGTTACAATTGCCTATGAATTTTGCACATGTACTTTTTTGCTTCCAGAGGTGGAGGGGCAGTTTATGAATAAGACAGGTAACAAATTTTCTCTTTTTCTTAAGTGTTCTCTGTGCTGGTGGGATGTCCCTTCAAGTCCCTTATGGTATAAAACTGGCAGTCCAAAAAGTAAGTATTCATTTTTGGAGAAATATTCAGATGGTGCAATAGTGGTGGTCCAAATGACACCAAAAGGCCAATTATCGACTAATAATTCTTAGATGCAACAGAATATATGCTTCTTAACTCATGCTATAGGCACTTGTACTAAGAAAGAACAACTCTGCTTTTAAAATCTTGAAATACTTTAATATCCAGTTAACAGATTATGTAAGGAATTATATAACCTTCATCCAAACCAAAAAAACCAAACTCACTGCCGTCAAGTCAGATCTGACTCATAGCAACCCCTCCTTGGGTTTCTGAGGCAGTATCACTACAGAAGTAGATTGCCCAATCTTCCTTCCCAGGAGTAGCTGGTGGGTTTGAACCACCAGCCTTCTGGTTAGCAGTCAAATGCCTTAGGTACTATGCCACCAGAGCTCCTAACCGGTGTCCATTAAATTACCAAGCATTTTGAAAGGAGTCACTTACAACTTGAAGCAGAGACAGGTAACCAAGTCCGACATTATCAAAATTCACTTTCAGGTTTTTCCATCGCACATTTTGACTAACATTCATAAGGGCAAAACACTCGGAACGATTTTCGACTTCACTTGAGGGAATCCGTGACCCATCTGTAGTATTAACACACTCATAGAACTTGCCAGCAAACAAATTCACTCCCATGATGCTAAATATTAGCCAGAATATAAGACATACAAGTAGCACATTCATGATGGAAGGAATTGCTCCTATGAGTGCATTCACAACCACCTAGTGTTCAAAAAAAAAAAAAAGAAAAGAATGATTAGAATTAGTAAAACTGTTAAATGAGCTAAATAAACAAAACACAACACAGTATTAAGTGATCTAGAGCCAGCCTTAAATGTTTAAGACACCAAATCAACTGACATGTATGTATTGAATGCTTTACCTTCAGTAGTGTGCCAAGCAAGATAAAATGAAACATGACCCCTGCCACCAATGAATTTATAATCATTTGAGAACACATGATTAACACACAGTAAAACTATTAGCTGAAATACTGGACAGTGCTGAAAAAAATAGCTAAGATGATATGATAGATTACATAAGTGAAAAAAAAAGCAAAACAAAAACCTGATATTGGTAAGGTGAAGTCATAAAATCTGCACAATCTAGAAAAGACAGAAATTTATAAATACACATGGTAAAAAATAAATAAAATGTTCATGCTAGAAATTCATAATCCTAGAATTACCAGCAATAAATGTTCTCCCATCCAGAGCAACTACTAATGTATATTGGCTGGAATTTAGATTGGGCATTATTTAGTGGCATGAGCCCCTCAAATTTAGCTGCTTCTGCCAGTTGTGTAATATGTGAATTCAGTTCAGACTTTGGGCTTCTGTTTCCTCAACTGAAAAATGATGGCAATCTTTTCAGATATTTTTCTAATTCTAAAAATACTTTATATATAAGTCCTTAATTAAATGTTGGTAGTGCTAGCTTCAGATAAAACAAAAAAGAAAAAAAGAGTCACATTTTATCTTTAAAAGTTCACTTGTTTCTGCTTATTTTGCCTGTTATCGATCACTAGTGTCCCACATTACTCCAATATTCCTCCATGGCAACCACTTTGGTATTTATCATTCTTCAGAATTATCACATCTTTCAAAATTTACTTGTCATCTAACACATCAGCTCTAGTACACACTTGAGTGCAAATGTATTAAAGACTAATTCCTTATGTAAATAGCATTTTGCTCTCTCTTTTTTGTGATGTAGTAAATAGGCTCTTAAGGCACTTACAAATGGATAAATACCAGAGATCTCTGACTGCCTAGAAGATTATCTAGAGCAGGCATCAGCTAACATTTTCTTAAATATTTTTAGGCTTTGTGGGTCATTTGATTTCTGTTGCAACTACTCAATTCTGCCATTGTAGCCAAAGGTCCTACAAAAACAAATAGACAATGCTGTGTTCCAATTAAACCTCATTTATAAAAACAGGTAACCAGCCAGTTTGTTAATCCTTGGCCTATAGCAATGGTTATTACCTGGCCATCCATGGACCCCTAAAGGTTCCATGAAGGCATGAAGTTATATGAAAAATATAATGGTTGTATTTTCTTTTTGGAGAGATGATTCATACTTGCATCAGAGACTTAAAGTGTATGGGACTCAAAAGAAAGGAAAAGCAAGACTACAGAGTGAAGTTCAAATGAAGAGCCTGATCTATAAGGCTCTTGTTCGAGCATACCGTTTCATCCTCATTTCCTGCTACCCTCTCCATGATGCTACTTTCCTAGGCACAATGATCCTTCTAATCATTGCCCAGATATGGCTTGTGTGGTTAACTCTGCCTCTCTACCTTGCAGCATCTCAGCCTGGAATGCCTGCCTACTCTTTTTGTTCTGACTCAAATGCCACCTCTACCTAAAGCCCTCCCAGACTTCCCCAAGCAGCCATTCCCTCCTTGACGTTTGTAGCAGGTATCACAGTATAACTACTGCACACCTGCCTGTCTCTTCTGAGCAATCATCCTATTCATTGTTTGTCCATGAACATGGTCACTAGAATTCAGTGGTGGGTCAGTCATAAGTTTTGGATAGGTTATAACATTCTACTAGTGCTCAAAAAATGAAATTAATGTCAATGAATTTCAATACTGTCTTCCTGTATAAAATGACGTTTGTAATTTCTCATTTTTTATAATTCTCAATTCTTACGTGGAGTATTTCAGTATTATTTGTCAAAACAATCCTTGTACAATCATGATGTTCTTATATACTTGGGCCCCATTTTATACTGGATACATTAAGTTGTAGAGTTTACATTTATAATAGATTAGCTGGGATAACAAATATCTGCTAAACTGAAAGATCTCATTTTTTTTTTCCTTGAGGGAGTCTCTGGGTGGCTCAAATGGTTAAGCATCTGGCTACTAACTGAATGGATGGTGGTTCAAATCTACCCAGAGGTTCTTCAGAAGAAAGACCTGGTGATCTATTTCTGAAAAGTGACAGTTCCTGAAAATCCTATGGAACACAATTCTTATCAGACACACATGGGGTTGCCATGAATCAGATATGACTTGATAGCCTCTAGTTCTTTTTCCTTTTTTAACATTTTGAGAGCCTGTTAATTGCTGATTCACACCCTAGTTTTGACTCAGGAAGCCTGTGGTGGAATTTCAGTTTCCAGATGATACTTAGGCTTCTGGTGAGTGGACCACACTTTGGGATCACTGGGCTAGACTTATCTGCATGCTTAATTGCTCAGAAATTACCAGTGGAGAGGCAGTAGGTAAATAAATCACATACAATATAATACAGAAGGGTGCCTAGTTATGCCTGGAGGTAGACAGAAAAGACAGCTTTTAAATTGAGACCTATTGGATGGGTAGGTGATGGTCTCCTAGATAGACAGACGTAAGTAAGGACAGAGGGATGAATTCCACACAGAGGAAGCAATAAAGACATGACAGATCAGGTATAAATAAGGAGAACAGGAAATGTAAGGAGAACTGCAACAAATGAGGAGATAGACTATACAAATAAGGTCATGGTTCTACATGTGTTTTATGCAGGAATTGCTGGTTTCATACATTCCTTATTGTTACACTGCTAGCAGTCTTTGTCTATCTCACCTTGTTTACTTATGCTAATCTCTTTCTCAAACACTCTGTAGTCTAGTGCAAGTGAAGTAAACTCTCAGACACTTAGTTTTCTCCACTGTAACTTGAAAGTAATTCTAAGTTGAAAGTAATTGAAAGTAATTGGTGACATAATTTTAAGGATAAAATTGAAGGTGATGGCTGATGCTACTTCATTTCTCTGTCTTTTCTTATGCTCTCTACTTAGGGTAGTGCCTTTAACAAACATTATTTGAGCATCTGACACAGGCAGGTCCTTGATGACTTGTATACGAGATGTGGTATCAAGACTAACAGTGTTCATCCATTTGAAGTTTACTAACAAGGGAAAGATTTCAATTTAAAAGGGGGGAAGTTCACTTATTTGAATCATTCTATTGCTTAACAAAGTTAGACAAAGAAAGCATTGATGTATTTGATTTATTCCTTTGTTAATCAATATTCACTGACATAATGTGTGTGGATATGAGTGTCTAAGGAGCTCTGGTGGCACAGTGCTTAAGACATTTGGCTGCTAACCAGAAGGTCAGTGGTTCAAACCCACTAGCTGCTCTGAAAGGAAGATGAGGTAATCCACTTCTATAAAGATTTACAACCTTGGAAACCCAGTGGGACTTGCTATGAGTTGGAATTGACTCAGTGTCAGTGGTTTTGGTTATATGAGTGTCTACACACATATAAAATCCACCACTGCTGTCAAGTCAGATCCAACTCATAGCAACCCCTCCTTGGTTTCTGAGGCAATAACACTATGGAAGCAGATTGCCCAATCTTCCCTCTGAAGAGTGGCTGGTGCGTTTGAACCACCAGTCTTCTGGTTAGCAGCCAAATGCCTTAGGCACTAAGCCACACAACGAACACAACACACTGCTGTGGAGTCAGATCTGACTCATAGTGACCCCTCCTTGGGTTTCCAAGGTGGTATCACTATGGAAGTAGATTGCCCAACCTTCCTTCTGGGACGAGTGGCTGTGGGTTTGAACCACCAGCCTTCTGGTTAGCAGTAAATGCTTTAGGCACTATGCCACCAGAGCTCCCATACACACTTATATATACAGTCCACACATACACATGTATGTATGTGTATATGTGTATAAATATAAACACTCCATAATTTCTATATACTCATTTTGTTTTTTCATATTTTATACCCCACTTAAAATAAGCTCATTATATTTAGGAGATTAGTATTTTCTTACCCTCATTCCTTCAAATCTGGATAAGGCTCTTAGAGGTCTTAAGGCTCTTAGTGTCCGGAGGGATTTAATGGGGCCAAGATCTGAGTAGCCAAGAGTGCTTGCTACTAAAGTAACCAAAGAAACCTACAAAAAATAAAAAATAATTGTCTCAATGAACTGATACAGTATACAGAGAAAAAACCATCTTCAAACGTCATTAAGAACAGGTCAATAAAAACAATACAATTTTACATATCAAGTTATCTAATCATTACCAAAAAAAGAAAAAAAATGGGTAGGGTGGATGTTTTTGTAGCAAAAATAGATTTAAAGAAAGACTAACCAAACTAAGAAGAAATAATAGAAGTAGGTTATTTATTTTATCTTAATAAAATTGCAAATACATTTTTCACAATTTTGTCATCAATACTTATGAACTTGCTTTTTCAATGTAAAAATATAATTAGCTAGAATAACTATTAAACTTTTAATTGAAATAAAACCCATAACAAAATACGTCACTCTGAAGGAAAGTCATAGAAGTGTGGCACTCGCTCAACCAAATCTAAGTCCTAATATAAACCTTATTCAAAAGCATTCTGAAAACTCATGATTGTAAGTAGTATTCTTATATTCATAATGAATATTTCAATAGAGTACTACATTCATTGAAAATCACCAGTCCTGATTATAAAATGCAAGGCAAAAGTATTTCCATTATTAAAAAGCCATATTGCTTTCTTAAAATAAATTCAATTTTGCTTGCAAACTTACATTTCTTAAGATGAGTAATGAAAACATGTATGATTGTGATAATATTTTTAAACGTTTTGAGCATCTTCAATATTTCATAATAATTTTTAAAGATCCACTCATATTTAAACATTAAGATCAAAGAAAAAAATACTCATTCCTTCTATAATTTCTTATTTAGGTTAAACTTCCTGTAAATCTATTCTGCTACAAAAGCATCTATCTTGCCCCCCCCTTTTTTTTTTAAGGCAATTACCAGGTAACTTGATATATAAAAAGTGAATCAAATAACAAATCAAACAATATAAAATCATGACTGTCATAGAGGAAGTCTCAGAGAACACATGAATATAATGTATATAGCTATACTTTGGAAAACAATCATTGTGTACTATATATCATTTAGGGAGCTCTGGTAGCATAGTGCCTACGGCACTGGACTGCTAACCAGAAGGCTGGCGGTTCAAACCCACCAGCCACTCCTCAGAAGGAAGATGAGGCAATCTACTTCTGTAGTGATACTGCCTCGGAAACCCAAGGAGGGGTCGCTATGAGTCAGGTCCAACTCAATGGCACATAACAACAACAAAATATATAATTTATATAAGAATAAAAAGTTATCACTTTTAATATATTTACTGAACTGTCAAAAGATAGTTTACTGAGCTTTATACAGCAGTTGAGAAATTGAACTTTGGAGTAAATATAATTAGTTTCAGTTGAATTTTGCAATCATATTTTGCTATTTGTATCATGCCTACTTGGAAATTTGAAATCCCTGAATCGTGCTATATTAATTTTTTCTGCAAAATCTGGTGATGAAAACTCTTTGTTAGATGTTGAAGAACTTACTGCCACTATAAAAATTAGCAATTTGCCTTTAATTATTCCAGGCATCAGATGGCAAACAAATCTCTAGAAACTGATGGTTGGCATGTGATGACTATAGGGTGTTTCTTCCCTAATCACAGTGGCTAGTATTTTTGAAATTCAGGAGAATTAGTAAAAGATTGAAAAAGACAAATTCTGATGAGAAAAATAAGACTGGGTATTGGAGGTCAATAAATAATTTAAGAAAGCATTTTAAAATAAAAATGATTAGAATACACTAAATAAGAATTGGTAATAATGGACATTGTACTATTGGTTCATATTTGACATTCCTTGATGTCAGAAACTATTTTAAGATGTCCTTGATCATTTCAACAAGATGCCTATAAAGGAATTTTTGTTTTGTTAAAAATAATACATAAACTGAAGTATTTTTTTAATGTATTTTCTATCATCCAAGTAGTCAACAGTTTTCTTAATAAATTATTTGAAGTTATTGGTGCCTACTTCCTTGCTCCAATTCCATCCTAGAGATGAAGGGTGAGTTGCATGTTTGAGACAGGGACAACAGCTGGAACTCATTTTGATTTTTCTATCATCATGACAGATACTATTTTGAAACATCATCCCTACCATGTGGTATAAAACCTCCTTGCAGTAAACAATTTGATCTTCGGTCATGGTTTCTGAGAGCCAGATCACACATGAGACAAATAAGCAGGTGCTGACCAGACCAAGAGGATCACCTAGGGTCTGATGTTGACAAAGCCTTGGGAGGCATGATGTAATCTATCAAGGCCACTTGGTGAGTCCAATAAAGACCTTGGAAGACAGAGACTCACTGGAGCTTCCTGGGAGGAGAGGGTGAACATATGCTTTGGAGAGGGCAAGCACAACTCCTGAGGACACAGGAGCTCTGTGTAGATACTCCTTTCACACCTTGCCTTCTGTGTTTATATTCTTTTCTCTGCTAGAATAAAAGCTAGTCTTCCTTGAATTTATGAGTGTTTCAATGGATTATCAGACCTAAGAAACAGAGAAGGGGCCAGTACTTGTTGATCTTGACTGGGTGAATATAGGTAAGAGAGAAATGGCTAAGCTGGGAGCTAGGGTATAAACTGACCAGGAAAGGGAAAAGGAGATTTTCCTGGACTGGTCTGATACCACGTGTGCTCTTCCGCTAACAGTTATTTAGCTTCAGCTTTGTCTGAAATGAGTATTTTATGTCTTTAATCTGTGTCTCTTCTTTTTTCCATTCTCACTCCCTTGTTTTTCATTTTGTTCTTATTCCCAACATACATGATATTCAATAGTGTATTGAAAAATCACATCTCCTGATTGCAGAAAGCATATGCAAAATAAGTTACAGCTACTAGTATAACAAAAAGGAATTTACATCTATCGCAGGATCTTGGCACGAATATTCCTCAAAGACATATTCCCAGTGGCTATGCCATTATTTCTCAAAACAGAAATTTACAGTTCAAAACTTCATAAAGCTAACCAAAATTAAACTAACCAAAAGTTTTCCAGACCATTTATTAGTAAGAATAAGTCCTCTTTAAAAATTTACTGAAAAAACACCTACATCAACAATTAAAAAATCCAGCCAACACCAGGCATTGGTGAAATAAGTTTTGTAACCGTATGCTACCCATTTTAGAAGCATTTCCAGAATGAAGACATAAGTGAATATCTTGTCAGCATACTCCAGAATAATCTTAATGGTCTTTTTCTTTTCAATATATATATCTTCAAAAGCCTGTGGAAATAATATTCAGATTTCGATAAAAATATACCTGAGAAATAATGAAGCACAATCAAAACAGAGGAGAGAATCATAATCATGAGAACACTGAAATACAATACTTTTATGGGCCATATGATTTTCTTCTTATAGTTACTGTGTAATAGTTAATTGTAGTCTTTAGTCTTCTCACAGTGCATGCTGTTGGTGACCAGAGGACAAGAGAAAGAAAGTGCAAAAGAGTGAAATTACTTGTAATCCTCTAAAAGAATCATGCTTTCTGACACTGACATGGACTTCCACTTGGTTTATCATTCATCAAAAACTTCAGCTCTACGAACCACCATTATATTCACTTCATGAACGTGGCACTTCTTATACGCTCCAAGAATGTTTTAAAACTGGCAATGATACTGTGGTCATAGGCACATGTCTCTTAGGGAATAATTTAAACAGACTTAAGGGCTTAAGAGAGAAATCCTGGTGGCACAGTAGTTAAAGCACTTAATTGAGAACCAGAAGGTCAGTGGTTGGAACCCACCAGCTGCTCCATGGGAGAAAGATATGGCAGTCTGCTTCTGTAAAGATTAAAAACTAAAAGCCAAATTCACTGTCATTAAATTGATTCTGACTCCTAGCAATGCCATAGGAGAGAGTAGAATTGCCCATAGGGTTTCCAAGACTGCAAATCTTTATGGAAGCAGACTGCCTCATCTTTCTCTCACAGAGTAACTGGTGGGTTGAACCAACTGACCTTTCAGTTAGAACTTGAGTGCTTAAACCTCTGTACCATGAGGGCTCCTGCTGTAAACATTAGAGCCTTGGAAACCCTGTGGAGCAGTTCTACCTTGCCCTATAGACTTGCTATGCATTGATAGCAACTTTTTTTTTGTAATATTATTTTTTTTTAACAATGGCTTTAGTTTATTATGGAGTTCTGGTGGCGCAGTGCCTAAGGCATTTGACTGTTAACCAGAATGCTGGCGGTTCAAACTCACCAGTCATTTTATGGAAGGAAGATGATTCAATCTACTGTAAAGATTTACTTCCTTGGAAACCCAATGGAGGTCACTATGAGCTGGAATCAATTAGACGGCAGTGAGTTTGGTCTTTTTTGTTGTTGTTGTTTCAGTTTACTGAAGACACTGAAAGTGAATGCTGACCTATACATGGCTAAAGTATTAGGTGTTTTTTTTTTTTCCCTCATATTTAAACACCATACACTCTGTTGGAGAGTCCGTGGGTGGTGCCAATGGTGAAACACTTGACAACTAATCAAAATGTTGGCATTTCAGAGCCTCCTTGGAAGACAGGCCTGGAGATCTGCTTCCAAAGGTCATAACTTTGAAATCCCGATGAAGCAATTCTTCTCTGCATAAATGAGGTCACTATGAGCTGGAATCCGTACCTTGTTGCAAAAAAATGAAAACAAAAACACCTATATCCTTAATGGCTAACCTTATACTACCTGTCCACAGTCATGGGCTATGTCCTTCTTACTCTTCTTACTCCAAGCTCTGTTACAAACACTTTAAAAATTATACTTAGTATCTTTTGCAACTGATAGTATCTATATTGAAGAAAGCAGTCCTCTGTTGGCACATAGGGAATGGATAGACCTACTAAGATGCAAGGATCCCTGGTGATGCAGCAAATGGTTAAGCACTAGGCTGCCAGTCAAAAGGTTGATGGTTCAAATCCACCCAGTGGCTCCATGGAAAGACCTGAATGTCTGTTTTTGCAAAGATCACAGCCAAGGAAACTCTAAGAGATAGTTCTACTCTCTCACATGGGGTCTCTATGAGTTAAAATGACTCGATGACACCAAACAACAACAATCAAGATGTAGAAAGAAGGTCCTGGAAGTTAGCAGGGTCCTGAAAGTCAGTGGAACTGAGGTGCAGGGACAGACTTCTGTTTGATATTTATTCCTCTTTCTTAGGGGCCATAATATAGTAAAAAAGATAGATGACTCTAAGTTTAGATATCATTAAGTTATGGCTTTGCCATTTATTAGGTTACTAGTAACTAACTTTACTAAGTTAAACACCTTTTAAAATTCTGTACCAGATTCTTCACTGGTAAAAGGAGCAAACTATCATAACCTTAAAGAGCCGTTTGGAAATTAAATGAGAAAACTTAAATAAAGAGCTTGAAACATAATATACATGTAATAAATGAGAGCTGTTACTTTTTATTAATTTTTTCTATATACAGTAGTTTCTTAAACTGGTGAACTCTCTGAGTAAAACCACAAAATTTCTTGAAGTTCCTTGCCATTTCTTCCTCATATGGATCATTTGAATTTCAGTTTTTAGAGAGCCCTTTCGCCAAAGTCTTCCTTTTAGACACTTTGACTAAGTTCTGCTTTACATTTTTCTTTAATTTGACTGTAATTTCTTCTCTGAAATCTCAGTCACATATGTAACTAAGCATAGAATAAATTCCCTTTGTTATTAAGAATGTAAGTCAATGTGAACACAATCTGTCACAATTCCTACTTGTATCACACCAGACTCAAGTAGAGTAGTCCTTTTCTTATCATGTATTTTTTCTCAGAAATGAGGTTTGTTCGGTGATGCAATACACAGTGGTCCCGAACCAACCCAGCCTGCTATGGATGCCAATAAGACAATGCCCTGAATACTCTTTACCCAGGCTATTACTCAGGTTGACCTTGCAGTGAGTAACTTGAGGAGTTAGGTGGTGTCTCCCTGTAGAATAAAGAGCAGAACTGCTTGTTTCTTGCTATAAAAGGATGGGTTCCCCAAACCCAGTGTTCTTCAGCTTTAACTCAATTCACTATGTGAGTAGTAATCCATCCATACCTATTTTATGCCCCTATGAGACTGGAGCAGGAGGAACTGACATAAACATCTTGAAGCTAATGCTACTTTCTGTACCATAAGTAATAAAGTCCTTTGTCTCTGAACCAAAAGTATTATATTTTCTGTGAGTATCTATGAAAAAGTAACAGTCAAACTCATTAGATTGAAAGTAGAGTAAAATAAAATTCCAAGCTCACAGCAACTGTCTAAGAAGCAATTTATAAAGTTCTTGGAAATTATATTTTCAGTATAGTGAGATTTCCAAGGGTATCTCTAGCAGGAACTGTGCTTCTAATGGCTCATGTCTGCCAGTGTCAACAGGAAAGAAACAAATAAGAAAAGGCTCAGGGAACTCTTGTCTTTCTCACATCTCTGTCTACTCTCAGGGAAAATGTATTGTATCACTGCCACTGAGTCGATCCCAACTCATAGCGATCCCTCCTTGTGTTTCCGAGGTGGCATCTCTTTGGAAGTAGATTGCCCAACCTTCCTCCGAGGAGTGGCTGGTGGGTTTGAACCGCCAACTTTCTGTTTAGCAGTCAAATGCCTTAGGCACTGTGCTATCAGAGCTCCCTGTATATATACATAGGAATGAAAAACTTTCTCATGCTCATCTTTAAAAATAGAGTCTATTTTTCTTATAATAACACGTAAGATACTTCAAAGTCATCACCGACTCCCTGTCTCATGTTATCTCTGGCTACCACCATTTTCCCTACACTTGGTATTCCTTCCACAACACTTTACACAGTTCAGCAACTTTTAATTTCATCTCATTTCTCTAATCATTTGTTTATATAAGTCTCTATCTCATTGCTCTCTGAATTTCTTGACAATAGTGCCTGCATGTTATCCCTTCTTTGCATTCAGGGCAAGAATAATACCTACTGTACACTTTTCTCAACAAATATTTACCAAGCTAAACTAATTTTTCCTTTCTACTTGATAATTTCTTAGATAAAACAACTTGACAGGATATTTTTGTTCTGGCTCATTTTAAAAAAGGACTGACTTATATATAATGTACTAATTTTGTAGTCACATTACTTACCAGAGCACCACTGCTGAGCAGGATCATGAGAACAATAAAGCTTTCAAACCAATTGTGTTCAACTATCTTGTAACATGTTTTTCTTATGTTCCACCAGATTTTTCCTTTCCCTGACTCTATGTTAACTTGGCAGCATGGGAACCTCCGTACACAACCTGGCAAGGAAGACATGGATGTGAAATCTTGATATTCGCAATTAAATGTTTAGAATACATTATTTTATATAAAGCTTTACCTGTGATACTCCCTTAACCAAATACCTGAAGTTTCCAGTAATTCTAGTTTATTGCAAATACTTGTTGGCAGTTTGAACCCACCCACTAGCTCCATGGGAGAAGGACCTGAGGATCTACTTCCACAAAAGTTACAGCCAAGAAAACCCCATGGGGCAGTTTCTACTGTCACATAGGGTCACTATGAGCCAGAATCAAATCAGTGGCATGCAACAATAAATAAAAACTCTCTTTCTCTCTCAAGTGCTCTGTTTGCTGCATAGATACTTTTCATACGGGCTTCATCAGCTTGGACACCACCTTTGCTCATCTCCCAACCCTCTATAGTTTTTTCTTAACATTTGTTAGTTATTTCTAGTTCAGAATGTCTTCCTATCCTCTGTAATTCTCTGATGAGTCTCCTTCACAATGTTTAAGTCAATATTTTCCTCATTATTGTTACCTTAACATAGTATCTGACACATAATGAGCACTGAATAATTTTTTGGTTTATGAATAAATGAATGAATACAGAAATGAACTCAATTTGGAGGATAACACATATTTCAGGGCCTTGCTTGCTGGGGAAAAATTTTCTTGTTGTAGATCTGGTCTACAGTTTGCTGACGCTTTCACTCTTGTATAAGAACTCTGAGAAATGCTGTTCTAAGTAATTTGAAGAAAATTAGCGAAAAGTCCTAAAAACAACTTCAAAAGACTTAGATCTTCGTTATGAGATGTAGATGAAATTGTTTCAATGTTTTAAGTTAAAAACAAATCTGACTTTTGAATCCTAAGTATAAAACATACTGCTATGAAAAATTGAGACAACTTAATTTTAAAATCATCATATTTATTCATTGAATTAATCAAACATTTATTGAGTGTTTTCTATGTACTCAGCTGTATATATAACTCCCTCTTGCCAGGGAAAATCTGATTGGTTTAGTTAAAGCATATAAAAATAAATGACTATAACTGGATAATGCAATTGAAATGACAGAAATGCAGGGGTATTTTGGTAGTATAGAACAGGTTCACCTAACCTGGCTTGTTTGTTGAGGAGAAATCAGAAAAGGCTTCCTACAAGAGGTCTCAAGTTGTTATTGTTAGGTGTGATTGAGTCATCTCCAACTCACAGCGACTCTATGCACCGCAGAATGAAACACGGCCCTGGTGTGGTGCCAGCAACATGATCCTTGTTATTCCTGAGTCCGTCGTTGCAGCCACTGTGCCATTGCATCTCATTGAGGGCCTTCTGCTTCTTTGTTGACCCTCTACTTTCCCAAGCATGATATCCTTCTCCAGGGAATGGTTGCTTCTGAACATGACCAAAGTAGGTGAGACGAAGTCTGGCCATTCTTGCTTCCAAGGAGCATTCTGGCTGCACTTTTTCCAGGACAGATTTGTTAGTTCTTTTAGCAGACCATAGTACTTTTAGCATTCTTCTCCAACACCAAAACTCAAAAGCATCAACTCTTCTTCAGTCTTCCTTATTCATTGTCCAGCTCTCACAAGCATATGATGCAATTCAAAGTACCATGGCTTGAGTTAGGCACACCTTAGTCTTCAAGGAGACATCTTTGCTCTTCATCACTTGAAAGAGGTCCTTTGCAGCAGATCTGCCCAATGAAATACATCATCTGATGTCTTGACTGCTGCTTCCAATGGTGTTGATTGTAGAACCAAGTAACATGAAGTCCTTGACAACTTCCATCTTTTCTCCATTCATCGTGAAGCTATTTATTGGACCAGTTGTGAGTATTTTTATTTTCTTTATATTGAGGTGTAATCCATACTGAAGACTGGTGTCTTTAACCTTCATCAGTAAGTGCTTCAAGTCATCCTCACTTTCAGCAAGCAAAGCTGTGTCATCTGTGTATCGCAGGTTGTTAATGAGTGTTCCTCCAATCCTCATGCCACATTCTGCTTCATATAACCCAGCTTCTCATATTATTTGCTCAGCATAAAAATTGAATAAGTGTGGTGAAAGGATACAACTTTGACACACTCCCCTCTTTATTTTGAACCATGCAGTATCGCCTTGTTCTGTTTGAATGACAGCCTCCTGATCTATGTACAGGTTCCTCATGAATACAATCAAGTGTTCTGGAATTCCATGTCTTCTCAATATTATCCAAAATTTGTTATGATCCACACAATCGCTTGCTTTTGTAGTCAATAAAATGTAAGTAAACATCTTTCTGGTATTCTTTGCTTTCAGTTAAGATCCATCTGACATCAGCACTATTATTGCTTGTTCCACTTCCTCTTCTGAATCCAGCTTGCCTTTCTGGAAACTCTCTGTCAATATACTGCTGCAACTGTTTTTGAATTATTTTCAGTAACATTTTACTTGCATGTGATATTAATGACATTGTTTGACACTTTCCACATTCTGTGGGATCACCTTTCTTTGGAATGGGTACAAATATGGATCTCTTCCAGTCAGTTGGACAGGTAACTGTCTTCCAAATCTCTTGGCATAACTGAGTGAGTGCCTCCAGTAGGTATCCGTTTGTTGAAACATCTCAATGGGTATTACATCAATTCCTGGAGCCTTGTTCTTCACCACTTCCTTCAGTGCAGCTTTGACTTCTTCCTTCAATACCATTGGCTCTTGATCATATGCCACCTCCTGAAATGGATGAACATTGACCAATTCTTTTTGGTACAATGATTCTGTGTATTCCTTCCATCTTCTTTTGATGCTTCCTGCATCATTCAATATTTTGATCACAGAATATTTCAATTTTGCAACTCGAGGCTTAAATTTTTTCTTCAGTTTTTTCAGCTTGAGAAATGCTGAGTGTGTTCCTCCCTTTTGGTTTTCTAACTCCAGGTCTTTGCACATTTCATTATAGTAACTGCCTTTGTCTCCTCAAGCTGCTCTTTAAGATCTTCTGTTCAGCTCTTTTACCTTGTATTTCTTCCATTTGCTTTAGCTAGTCTCCACTCAAGGGCAATTTTCAGAGTCTTTCTGACATCCATTTTGGTCTTTTCTTCCTTTCTTGTCTTTTCAATGACCTTTTGCTTTCTTCATGGATGATGTTCTTGATGTCATTGCACAATTCCTCTGGTTTTCGGTCACTGGTATTCAATGTATCAAATATATTCTTTAAATGGAAGCTAAGGCACTTGACTGCTCACCAGAAGGCTGGCAGTTCAAACCCACCAGCCACTCCTCAGAAGGAAGGTTGGGCAATCTACTTCCATAGTGTACTGCCTCAGCAACCCAAGGAAGGGTCGCTATGAGTCAGGTCCGACTTGATGGCACACAACAACAACAACAACAACAACAACAACAATGGAATTGCTGGGCCAAATTGTATCTCTAACTCCAGCTTTGGGAGCTCTGGTAGCATAGTGCCTAAGGCACTTGACTGCTCACCAGAAGGCTGGCAGTTCAAACCCACCAGCCACTCCTTAGAAGGAAGGTTGGGCAATCTACTTTCGTAGTGATACTGCCTTGGCAACCCAAGGAGGGGTCGCTATGAGACTCATAGCGACCCCTCCTTGGGTTGCCAAGGCAGTATCACTACGGAAGTAGATTGCCCCATCTTCCTTCCGGGGTGGCTACAGTAAAAGGGAAGTTAGGAAGTAAAAACTTTCATGAAAGAATGTGGAACAGAGACATGTACTAGTGACATCCAGAAAGATGACTGAAAAATTTTAAAAAATAACAATAGAATTAAATAAACAACTCAAACTACTTAAGGTATATAATTAGAGCCTCATTTGAGGGAAGGTAGAAGGTGCAAGGGCAGTATTTTTTTTTGTATGTGCTTCAGAAAAGGGTATGTTAGGCTCTTAAATATAGTTTCCTTCTCTATAAAACAATATCCAGTATTTAAGTAAAAAATATTGAGCCTAAGATATTGAAGGAAGCTCTGGTAGCATAGTGCCTAAGGCACGTGACTGCTAACCAGAAGATTGGCAGTTCAAACCCACCAGCCACTTCTTGGAAGGAAGGTTGGGCAATCTACTTCTGTAGTGATACTGTCTCGGAAACCCAAGGAGGGGTCACTATGAGTCAGGTCTGACTCGGTGGCATATAACAACAACAAGATACAGAAAGAATGGAAATCATGGAACATGAAAGCTCAAAGTCATAAAACAACAGAACCAGTATTTTCTTCATGAACTATTCCCATTAAATACTGTATTGTTATATGGATCTTTTTATATTTCCGAAGTGAAATGGTTCATTGCTCCAATTAAGATTAGGCTATCTCCCAGAATTTTTATTTCTATGGTAACAGAAATGTGGCAAGCTAACTATGTTCCCTAATTTCCATGTATTTAATGTGCTCCACTCCTTTCTCTCAGGCAGGTTATAAGTTTCTAGAAAGCTGACATGTGTCTGTCATTATCTTTCTTTCTGCTCATATACTTACTATAGTTCTCTATACAACGTACTATGTAGTATATGGGTAACTTAGAAGAGATCCAAAATATAGTTCTAAATCCTTCTATGCTTTTAATTATAATCTGAAAGTCTTCATATCTATAAATTCTAGAAGTTATACAAAGATTGGATGAAAAAGAAAAGAAATCCAGGTTGCATGGAAAATATACACATGACTTCATTTTTCCAATGTTAATTACAGTTAACATGATATCCTACCTAAGAGAATTTTGTTTTCATCACTTAAAATAATTCCTTTTTATCTCAAATGCATTTAGTTAAGAGAGAACAGTTTATAACATGAGATAGAAAAATTGTAAAATGGTGGAGTTAGAAATTGACTCCCAGATAATCTCTTTCAAAGCAGAGTGTGGAAAATATTGCAGTGAAATTATATATGTATAATTATATATATACATATATATGTATATGTGTGTGTGTGTGTATATATAATTATACATACACACACACATATACATATATATGTATATATGCTTTATAGTTTTAGAATTTATCTCAAATTTTAAAAATAAAGATCTTGTGCACAATAGAATGAAGCTACCTCAGGTATAATCACCAGAGGAAAAATTTATCCTTTTGGTTAAGAAGATTTTAATGTATGGGGTTTATTTTAGTTAGTCTTAAAATTGAAGAGAAACATTATTCTTATGATCAAGGCAACAAAAAACACTATGCATCCTAATTAGAAAAGTAAGTAAACTTTTCATCTGAGATGAAGGTTCATAAATATTGTCCTCAGGGTTTATAACATCACCGAGAGTTTCTCTCTATTATTTTGAGGTAGGAGTGCTTAAACGCCTGTCTAGCTTTCATGCAAAGGTGAATCCCAAGAGATTTCCAACCTAGCTGGTTAGCAATGCTATCAAGCCTTCTTTTTAAAAGAACTATTACTTAATTGAGAACATAACAAAGAACCTTTCAAACATTTTAATGGGTCCCAGTGAGTAAATGCTATTTCTTTTGGGTGGTGTCATTAATTTGCTCTCATGATGCATTACATAAAATCTATGCTAAATTTCATCATGTTTAACCAATGCTCTCAGATAATAAAGAGATCATTGACCAATTCCAAGACAGACTATCCATTAACAAAAGCAATAACAAGCATAACAAAAACAACAAAAATGTAACACCGTGGTCAGTACAAGTGATGTCAAAATTGACTAGGTGAACAAACATTTAGTTCACATCCTCTTAAACATCTCTAACTCCCTTTAAAACAAATGTTTTGTTCATGTTTTCTTCCCTATTCCACCTAAAAAGGACAAAAATAAAAAGGACAAGGGAGTGGCTTATTATTGATTACTAAAGTTAGAATTTTTTATTTTATAGGAAATTGTTGCCTTCAAGACATTTCTTTGGGAAGTCAAGTAACTTCCTCCTACCAAATTAAAAGAAAATGCAGTTTTGAGGAACAGTTGGTGTTTCTCTGAAATTCAACCTTGATAACATTATTTATTAATGGTATACTCCAAAAGGAGTACAATATAAAACCATGTTGAATCAAAAAGTCTCATCAGAGTCATATTTATACAGGTTGCCAAGAGGTGGAATCAGTGCCAGAGAAGAACAGTGCACAATCGAGGGTTAAAGAAAGTCTTTTAAGTCTTGAACTGGAAGCTATTGGAACAGAGCTGATATAAGATACGACATGGGAGAGAAGGGAGGTAATAAAGAGGAACAAGATGTAAATCAATAAAACACATTAGTAAAGTGATAGTTGTGAAGATGAAAAGGATGAGTGGATATAAGGCGATGGACAACAAAACTACTTTAGCATTCATCTTCAGCAAAAACACAACTACTTTGATGTGGCTGTTTCTCATACTTCCTTTGACCTCTTGCTGCCTTTCAGGTAACAAAAATCTCTGGAGGTCAAATGCTGCTCTGAACTGGAGTTGGTTCTAGCCGAGCTCTTACAGAATAATCACAAATAGGTAAGAGTTATTTCCAATGTAAATAAATGAATTTCTGATTTCCCATCTTCACAAGCCCCCTTTTTCTCAAAGTCTTCATATGGCAACTACATATTTCCAGTTCCTAAGACCCTGATCTTAAAGTCATCTTTGACACATCCTACACCTAAACCAGCAGCAATTCCTTCAAGCTCTAACTTCAAAATAAACCCAGAACCTTATACTCTCACCATCCCTAACACTGCCACACTAGTTTCACTGCGACGGTTTCTCGTCTCATTTATGGAAGGAGTCTCCACAAGGTCTCTTGGCTTCTTCCATGGCTATCCACCCATCTACTTTCAAACTTACATGTTGTGAGACTTTTAAGTTAGATCCTTATAATGTCTTTCAGTCTCGCCCCTACCTTCATTTCTTGATGTGAAATGACTCAAAATGAGAAGAAAAAGCTGCTAGTTACCATTATTAATCGGAAGGTGGAATGCACGAAGTATGAATAAAGGAAAAGTGGAAGTAGTCAAAAATGAAATAGAAGACATAAAGATTAATATTCTAGGTGTAGTGAGCTGAAATGGATTAGTACCGGCCATTTGGAATTGGAAATTACATGATCTACTATGTCAGAATGACCAACTGAAGAGAAATGGCATATTTAACCTTAAAATCCAGGCTATAGTGTCTTTACCATTAAATAAATACCTAAGCACTTATGACTATAATCTCCAAATAGATATGATACCAGTATTGTGACTTATTACCTCCATTAATTAGCAAGAATAGTTTTAATGGCATAAATATCTCAGGTATGATTCTAATATTCGTAAGTTCACAAACCTATTGTTCGCTACATGTGGTAGTTAAAGTTGTGTGTCAACTTTGCTGGGCTGTGGATTTGAGTGGGTGGCAGTTGGATGCAGTTATTCCTCGTGATGGGATGGCAATACCTCAAATGGTGGAATCAGCTGTGAGCAGCTCAGTAGTGCCTTCAGGTATGGTCTGCTTTCACTGTATGAGGAGAAGCTTGAGAAAGGTCTAGCACATCTGGACCCTGCATTTGGCCAAGTCTTGGCCTGCCATGTTGCCTACCAATCTTGGAACTGTGCCATTTTACCTACTGATCTTTGGGTCATCAGCCTCAGCAGCCAGTAGCTGCATGAGTCAGAAAAAAAAAAAAAAACCTCTAGCTCCAGTGGCCTGGAACAGGAGGCAGAGCCAAAGCCCAAGGTCAAGGGGCCTTCACCCAGCCTCTAGAGCTAGCACTTTGAACTTGGACTTCTAGCCTCTTAAACTGTAAGAGAATAAATTCCTGTTTGTTAATGCCATCCACTTGGGGTAGTTTTGTGACAGGAGCACTAGAGAACCAAGACACTACATATCTGTACTTAAAAAAATTGTAAGCAATCACACAAATTCATAATTTGGAAAGGGGAAAAAATGATTTATGCCACAACATTTACTGTTGTTGTTGTTGTTGTTAAGTGCCGTCGAGTCGGCCCCGACTCATAGCGACCCCTCCTTGGGTTTCCGAGGCAGTTATCACTATGGAAGTAGGATTGCCCAACCTTCCTTCCGAGGAGTGGCTGGTGGGTTTGAACCGCCAGCTGTCTGGTTAGCAGGCAAGTGTCTTAACCACTATGCTACCAGAGCTCCCACAACATTTACTAAGTATCTGATATTTGCCTTGAATCCTTGGAATTCAGCAAAGTGTCTGGAAGATACCTATATCCATTTTTGTTGATGTTGTTGGGGATACAAAGTTAGAAAATACAGGCCCTTGTCTTGAGGACCTTACCAGACACTGACAAAAATCAATTTATGAACAGATAAATTATCCAGAAACAGATTAAACAGGAACAAATCATTCCCCAAGATAGAAACAAAGTGTTAAGGACACTGGAGGACATGAAAAAAAGAAATTTACTTAGTAGGTAATATGGGGTTGGGTCATCAAATGATGAGTGGCAACTGCCAGGTAAAAAAGGAAACAGGATACAGAATTTCAGTAAGAGGGAATAACATGCTTGTAAATACTCTACTGTGAAAATTCCTGGCATATTCTAAGAGTAGTGAGAAGTTCAGTATGACAGAAAGTGGATGTATGGAAGGAAGTATTGTTAAATAACAACATGTTGTTAGGTGCCCTCAAGTTGTTTTTTGATGCGCAATGGCCTTAGGTGACAGAGTAGAACTGCCCCATAGGGTTTTCTAGGCTCTGATCTTTATGGGAGATCACCAGGTCTTTTATTCCATGGAGCTGCTGGTGGGTTGGAAGCACTGACCTTTTGGTTAGCAGCCAAGTGCTTAAGCACTGCATCACCTAGGTGCCTTTAAAAAAAAAATCAAAAGAAAACAGAGCAAAATAAACCAATATACTGAGCCCAGATGTAATGTCCATGGACCAATGGGCCTCAAATTTCAGCATGCATCAGAATCATCCATAGGGCTTAGGCTTGGTGCTCAGAGTTTCTGATCAACTTACAATATCTGTGATCAACTCCTGTCTAGAAAGGAAGAGTTTAGGGTGGACTCAAAGACTTTATTTTGAGAGAGGACAAATCATGATGTTCTGAATATGAGGAAGCCTGGAGGAAGCAGTTGATTTGATGAGAGAGATTCCACTATACAGTATGTTTTAAATGATAAATCTTAATGTTTCAAGATATCAAGTAGAGATGGCCAATGAGGAGCTGAAGGTAGAAAAGGCAGATCTGAAACTCAGGAGTGAAGGCAAGAGTAAAGATTAAGTTTTAAGAGCAAGCAGCACAGAAATGATTATTCAACTCTTAGAAGTGAATGAAATCCCTCAGGGCTGCAGAATAAGAAAAGAAGATAACCAAGGACCAAAAGGTGGGGGACATTATTATTTAAGAATGTGCATAAAAACAATCATTAAAAAAGTAGGGAAAGCAAATCATAACTTTCAGAGATGTGAAAAGAGAACAAAGGTAATGTAGCTTCTGAACACAAGGGCGGAAGAATTTCAAGATAGACTGTTCAACTGTGTCAAATAGTTGGTAAGAAGCTTCAGTTTTTGACATAAAAGGCACTTGTACCACTTATCCCATTAACCTGTATTAACTCCATGGAGCATTGTACGAACTTGTATTAACTTCTTGGAAACTCTCCGGAGCCGGGAATGAAAGTAGAGTGTGCTTTATATGTGGTTGCTTTTAGTTGCCATCAAGTCAATTCTGACTCATGACGACTCCATGTGGTCAGAGTAGAACCGCTCCACAGGGTTTTCTTGGATGTGTCCTTTCATGGCAGATTGCTAGGCCTAGGCTTGGTCCCAAGATGCTTATGGATGGGTTTGAACTGCTAACCTTTTGGATAATATTTGCACCATTTAAGGACTTGTGTTATAGTACAGCAAACTATAATTATGATTTTATCAATACAAAGCCATAAATGTGGAAACTGAAGCTTAGAGAGCTCCAGTGACTTTGTCTTAGTCATAGAGCTATGGCAGAATCAGCACTAAATTGAGTCCTCTGACTTCTTGCCAAGCAACTCCTGGGAAGTATTAAGACAAAAGCAAAAATGCCAATAAATGGATGCTAACCAAGGTCTTTATTTTTCTCTTACCGTCTGTGAAACAGGCTTCTGGTTCATCTGAATTTATGGGTTCAGCCTCTGCTTCTTCTCCTTCTCCTGGCACAGGGTTATCAACTGTGCTGCACTCAGAAGAACTTGATTGGTTCAATCTCTAAAACAGAATTCACCACCCCACAAGACAGTTCATTTAGTGTTCATTCAAATCCTGAGTTTAAGCCAGATTTAATGATCAGAGTCATGCAAAGTGTTATGAAAACATATTAAAAGTACGATGGTCATAAACACATATAAACACACATTGAGATCAAGTGATCTTACAATGTATCTATACTTGATCTTTCTATCTACACATCCTCTAGAAATACATGATTGTCTTTGTTATGCTAACAAGTAAATATTTGGAGAAAATTAGCATAAGGTAATATTTTAATATTAACTGTCACATTTGCAAATTTTGGCCACATTTTTATTATTATCCTTAAGGCATCTGACTGCTAACCAGAAGGCTGGTGGTTCAAACTCACCAGCCACTCCTCGGAAGGAAGATTAGGCAATCTGTTTCCATAGTGATACTGTCTTGGAAACCCAAGGAGGGGTCACTATGAGTTGGATCTAACTCGATGGCAGTGAGTTTTTTTAATACATTTATGTACAACAACAATGATTATTTTAGGACAACCAAGACCCAAATAGCAGTAACATACAAGAGCCAAATTGTCAATGCCTGTTAATTGAAAGATGAGGTCTGAAAACTTGCAGAAAATGCTTATTAATACTTAAGATAAAAAAAATGAGTGTAAGATAAACCCTAAACACATTTTTCTTATCATCTCTTCAATTTTTTAATATGTAGAAGGATAATATAGATAGAAGGTGTTTTACCAAGACTAAAAATGAGTTAAATATTGTACTGGAATCAAAATCAAGACCATAGAAATTACCTCACTCCGTACCACATATTTTAGTCAAAAAATTACAAGATATAGTAGAAAAGATCATAAAGTATTATTTATAATGTCAAGACAGTGGCCACTAAAATGAGCATCACATGCAAATGTGGAACAAAGACTGAATAAAATTAAATATGGCAGACTTACACATGGAAATAATGAATTTATTGTCATTATGATCACAAAATAGATCATAACTCAAGTTATTTCCACCCAAAACTCTATGATCAAATACGGATGTTTACACACACACACACACACACACACACACATTCTTAGAAAAACTACAGCAATTGTAGCAAAAGTCTGTAAACTTTCCAAATATGAAGGAGAAGAACAGCACATTCATGGAAGAGCTCATTTTTCTTTCTCATTTGCTAAATGACATAAGAATATTGTAAAACTACTAGTTATTACGGCACATGCCTCTCTTAATGAGATTCCAGCTCTATTTTTATAAGAATAAAAATAGTTAATTTTAATTTATAGTTAAAATGAGAATAGCTAAAAATGAGGAAAATACTCATTGCAATTAAATTTATTCTTCAATCTCTTAATTTCCATTAATGTCATAGGCCATACATTTTATATATATATATATATATATATATATATATTTTTGTTGTTGTTGTCATGTGCCGTCGAATCAGACTCAACTCATAGCGACCCCTCCTTGGGTTTCTAAGGCAGGCCCCGACTCATAGCGACCCCTCCTTGGGTTTCCGAGGCAGTATCACTACGGAAGTAGGATTGCCCCATTTTCCTTCCGAGGAGTGGCTTGTGGGTTTGAACCGCCAGCCTTCTGGTTAGCAGTCAAGTGCCTTAAGCACTACGCTACTAGAACTTATATATATACATACACACACATACACATATAGGAGACTGACTTGGACACTAACAGTGTCCTATATAGAAACCACATTAAATTCTCAGTGCTATCATCACATAGTATACAACATCATTAAAAATGGCATAGATAAAGTATTGTACATAAGGAATGATGTAAGCAGACAGAGTCCTCTTAAGAACTAGAGTAAGGAATTACATACATGCTGTTAAATCAACTCTTCTAACCCATGTTGGCATAGAGGCATTATTCCCATGAGCTTGAGTAGTTTGATTTTAAGAGTTAGACCTGCAGTGTGCATTTTCATTTAACAAGCAAATTCTTTAAATTGATTGGGTTTCTCTAAAGATTACTTTCAAATGGTAAGATAGAAGAATAAATATAAAACTGACTAAAATATTATAAAACAGTATTTGGTAAGACTTAGAGTTTTAAAAGATGGGGAGACATGTTTACTAAGCTGTCCTATTACACCTGTTACCACAGACAACCTATCAATTTTAAGCACCATATCTAAATTACTACAGTTCTTTAATGGCCTCAATTCTTGATCTCTCTGTTGTATTCTCAAATGTCATCAAGGAATTGAAAGACAAGACAGCATAATTCTTTGGAAGTGAGAATAAGCCTTAAATTCTGAAGAAGGAAATATTGGCCTGGATTTTGAGGCAAAGCGATAGGAGGAATTGCTGATGGAAAAAAAAAAAAAAGCAACTCATTGCTATTAGTGAAAATATCAACAACTAGCAGATAGTTATACTGGCTTTCTCTCAGCTGGAAATAACTTTTAAATAAAATGATTCTCACAGAAATATAACAGGATAAATTAATTTAAACATCTTTTAACACCAATATTTGTTTTTCTCACTGTTGAAAAAGCATTTCAAAGAAGAATTTCTGCCAAGTTATTTTATGATCAAGTAAAAATTCAAGTGATTTTATTTAGTGTATCTTGCCATGAATTTTTTTTTCACAGTCAGCTTTTATAACTATTTGGTCAATTACATTCAGAGTTGTGCTCAGATTTTATATGATCAATCAAAATATTTGATACAAATCATAATTAATCTGTATCACAAGCCAAGTTTTTGTAGCTACTCGATCATTAGAAATTCATTATTTTCCCAGGACTGTATTACAGTATTTACACAATAACTATTTGAATACTACAAATAAAAGTAAATATTTATGAGCATGTTCTGGAAAAATAGACAGTTGTGGTCTAATCTGTCCTTAGCCTTTGAATTATTAGTTAGTTAGTTAGGTGCCATCAAGTCAGCTCTGACTCATAAAGACTCGATGTACAGCAGAACAAAACACTGCCAGGTTCTATGCCAACCTCACAATCTTTGCTATACCTGAGCCCATCGTTGCAGCCAATATGTCAATCCATATCATTGAGGGCATTCCCCTGTTTCACTGACTGTCTACTTTATCAAGCATGATATCCTTCTTCATGGAATGATCCTTTCTGGTAATATGACCAAACTAGGTGAGATGATGTCTAGCCATTCTCGCTTCCAGTAAGCAGCCTGGCTGTACTTCTTTCAGGACAGATCTGTTTGTTCCTCTGGCAATCCATGGTATTTTCAGTACTCTTCACCAACACCACAACTCAAAAGCATCAACTCTTCTTTGGTGCTCCTTATTCAGTGTCCAGCTTTCATGTGAATATGAGGCAATGGAAATACCATGGATTGTATTAAGTGCAACTTACTCTTCAAAGAGATATCTTTGTTCTTCAGCACTTTAAAGAGGTCTTTTGCAGCAGATTTGCCCAGTGTATTACGTTGTCTGATTTCTTGACTGCTGCTTCCATTGTTGTTGATTGTGGACTCAAGTAATATGAAATCTTTGACAACTTCAATCTTTTCTCGATTTATTGTGATGTTGCTTATTGTTCAGTTGTGAGGATTTTCCTTTTCTTTAAATTGAGGTGTAATCCACAGTCTGCAGTCTTACATACTTCATCAGTAAGTGCTTCAAATTGTCTTCACTTCAGCAAGGAAGTTTGCATCATGTGCATATTGCAGGTTGTGAATGAATCTTCCTTCAACCTTATGCTGTTTTCTTCTTCATATAGTCCAGCTTCCCCAATTATTTTAATTATATACTTGTTAAAACAGATGTTTCTTTAATGGGGTCCTAAAAGATTGTCTTAAATGAAAAAGCCAACATCTTTTTTTTCTTTTTCTTAAAGGGAAATATATTTAATTCTCATATAATGCACTGCTCAGTGTAATTATTGAATCTCTTTTATTCTCTTCTGCTTTACACAGAAGATCATGCCAATTATTTGTACCATTATGAATAAATTATTTTTAAAATTATTTTCATTTCTATAAACCCGGTAATTTATTTATTTTTTCCTGTCTTGTCATTTGGGAAATGGAAGAATAACTATACTATACTAAAATGAGTAGTAAAATAAATAACTCTGCATGAAAAATTTTCCTTTTGATATTATAAATGTGCTATCCTGTAATTTTTATATAGATATGAATTTTTATCTTTGTCAGTCTCTCTCTCTATATATATATAAATAAAAATTGTTAAAAATAAATGCAAATGCAGGATCATAGAGGCAGACTTGCTACTACTTGAGATAGATGCCATAGTTAGCATTCCTGCCCTTTTATTGAAAAATATGATAATGACTATAGGTACTTCTAAAATTCTGGATTTCTTTTCTTTTTTTCCTGAGATAAAAGTGGTATAATTTATTAAAAAAATTAAATTTACAATAAACCAAAAAACCCGAACTCACTGTCATCAAGTTGATTCTGACTCATAGTCATCCCCACTGGATTTCTGAGGTGGTAAATCTTTATGGAATTAGATTGCCCCATCTTCCTTCTGCGGAGCAGCTGTTGAGTCTATATCACCAGCCTTCTGATTAGCAGTCAAATGCCTTAAGCACTATGCCACCAGAGCTTCTTAAACGTACTACACATAAAACCAAACCAAACCCAATGCCCTTGAGTTGATTGTGACACATGGCAACCCCCATTGGGTTTCCAAGGTGGTAAATCTTTATAGAAGTAGATTGCCCCATCTTCTTTCTATGGAGCGGCTGGTGGGTTTGAACTTCTAACCTTCTGGTTAGCAGTAAAATGCTTAGGAACTACACCACCAAAGCTCCTTAGGTTACATATTGTGGAAAAAAAAAAAAGTGTCTTGCACTATCTTCCTGAATCTATCTTCTAGAGGTAACTACTGTATAGTAATTTTTGTGTATCTTTCCAATTTTTTTTAATATGTATCTATAACACACTCTATTTCTGAAACAATCTTTATTTTGATTGTATACTTATATTTTAAGACTCCCTTTCTTACATTGAACATCAAATCAAA